AGATGGACCTTGAGTTACTTGTAAGGTAATAAATGCAGGACAAAAATCTCAGAGATGGTAGATAGATGATGATAAATGGATAGGTAGATATAGTTATATAAATGAACTAAATTATTCTTTAAAATAGCAAACTAGTGAAATTACTGATCTGATACATATCGAACCATTGTAATACATATATCTGAAGAAAATATGATGTAATGTATAAGGGGTGATAATATATAAGTAGTGATTATGGGTTTTAAAAATTAGAGTCCAGTTATAGTGATCATATTGTTGAAATGACCCTGGCAGCTAATGAAAATAAGACATAAAACATTGATCAAAAATTGAAATTAAATGGACAGCTACTAGGTTATTAAGTAGTGAACTAATTTTATTGGATGCAATGTTGTAATTTTTCTTTTCATATGTTTCATACTTTGGTAAAGGCATATAACCACAACAGTTAATGCTTCTCTTTTCAGGTATATATACAATTACAAATTGGCTTGCATTGATGATAGGCTGATGAGCAACTGCAAGTATAATATGATTTCTGATTTTAAAGTCACAGAACACCATTGCCTCTTAGCCAGACAAACGAGATTAACTATAGTGCTTGCCATAATATGGGATATAGAGCATGGTTCTCAGCATAATAAGAATTCCAAGCTTCACACACCTTTTCAAAGCCTCCTTAATGATCCCAGAATCTATTTAAAAGGCTTGTGAATGGCAATTTTTAGTGTTGTGGGGAAAAGTGTGACAGCAATTACAAACAAATGTGTTAACTGTAAGTACATTTAACTTAATCAAATTTAGTTTTTTCTTCTTTGTAGCATACACTTAAAGGCCAAAAATAATTGTCACAAAATTGTCCAAAAATTGAGACTTCTTACATTAAAAGAATGCAATTAAGTTACTTTCCACAATTATCTCTAAATAGGTAATAAATGCTACCAAATACTGTTTTAGAGTCTTCCAAATGGATTACAGTTACAGAGAATTATACTGTATTGTGCCATTTAGGTGATTTAACATCTGAACCTGTTCAATTTGACAATACAAGAAATATCATTTTGCTTCTTGATTTAGTTTTTTTAGGACTGGCATAGTTGCTTCCTCATATGTATACCAGGCTGCCACTTCATTAAACTACTAGTTGATCTGGGAAGATTTGAAGGTGTTTATCTATGCTTTCTATATCTGGAAAGAAAACAATTTATCATTTGTGTGTGTGTATTGGAATGACTTTTATTATATTTGCAGTGAGCTCATGAAAAAAAAAGTTTGCTTAGTTAAGAAGAAAGTATATCATAATTTAATGCACCCTGGGTAATCCATAGTCACTCCATTGCCCAAGTGGTTTTTAATTTGCTCATATTTGATGAGAAGACTTAATAGTATTATGTCTAAATGGCTTGAAAGGCAATATGGTAATTCAATCAAAAGTACTTTGCTTTTCTCTGCAAAATAATTTCATATGGACCTATACCTACTGCTTAGTGAAAAATGTCTAAGCTAAACTGACAAATTGACTCAGAAAAGCCTGAAGAGAGAAGATAATGATCTTAGCACCCCGATTAATATCAGCAAGAGGGAGGAAAGTCATTAGTCATTTGGAAGAAGAATTGGATAATGAGGAAACAAAAGAAAGCAGCAGCAAATCCAGAAAGCAGGTGAGACAGGAAGACAAGTCCTTTAAGAGGAAGGTATTAAAAGATTATTACATAATTAATAGAAGGTTTCAATGACTTTGTTAATAAGCTGCACTGTAGGCTTTTTCTTGTGGTTTCATTAGTTCCAAGACATTTTTTAAAGGATTCTTGAAGCAAGCAAAAGCAGCAACCTTTGGAGGATTTAATACGGCTGGGATTAATTTTTTTTTAAGAATGAAAATAGTAAATTAAAAAGCCACCTGCTGAAAGGGTTTACAATTTGGAAAAAAAATCTAAAAGGAAAGATACACAACAGTGAAAAAGGACACATATTGATCAAATGCAACTAATCAGTATAGTCTCTTCAATTTAGCAGATTTTTTTTAAGTGACAGAAGATGGCATAAAGGACTTTTCTAAATAAACTGAATAAACTGAGAAGTAAGTACACCTTTATTTTGCCTTTCTAAAAGGAGATGAGCAACAAAATCCCTTGCCAATCTTTTAAAGAAATATTTTTTCCTGAACACTTACAATTCAAATAATATGTGTTAAGTTTAGTTGTGGGATCATCAAAAATGTCTATGGCAAAATCCAAAGCACTTAATATCATAATGAATCTCTCATAATGAATTATTTCAGCTACAGAATATGAAGTCTCTGCCCAAAGCAAAGATTTCTTTGACATGATTTACATTGCAGGCCCACTTGATTATTGTAATGATAGATAATGACTTGCCTGGCAATAAATTGAACTATTTGATTTTAATATCTCTTTTGATATTATATTTTTGAAGAAAATTATATATAGACATTCCACATATAAAACTTTTTAAACATTTTAAAATCCTTATTAAACAGTTAACTATTTCCAAATAATTAAAAGAGACTTACATGATATAATATTTGTAAATTTAATATTTAAACCAACCCTAAATCAACAAGTTAATTATCTATTTTGAGATACAGTATCTCAACATTATCTTTCTAGGCAGTACACATTCTGTATTAATTCTGAATAATGCAACTCACTAGCATAGCATTAGTTAGAATTATATAGTAAAACTTTTTAAATAACCTCATTAAATATGACATGAATATAAAACATCCTTGAATCTTATTGACAGCTCTTCAATGCACACATTAACCCAATAGTTCATGCACATGATAGATCCAGTGTCTAATTTATCATGCGGAAGAATGCTTCTGATAATCAAAAGATAAGAGAGAAAATGTAATATATTTTAAAGTGTATTAATTTTTAAATAATAATAAATCACACCCACATTTCTTTGAAAAAGATGCAAGTACTTCATAAATAAGAAAGAAGTCAAGAGGACAGATGATACAAAATATCCAGTGCAAATACAATATACAAAAATTAAGATTCATGTCTTGAATCCTTATGATATGGATGACTCTCACCCTCAAAAACTCAAACCAACTGATGTAACAAAGATAGTACTTCCAATACCTAATCCCAGTTTGCTTCATTGCTGAGCTGAAATCTTACCAAGCCACTTTGGTAGACCTGATGGCAGACTCTTAATAGAAAGTATTGAATATTATAAGTGAGATGTATTTTGAATTGAGCTTCTAGTTCATTGACACCAATCCAAGTTTTCCTATTATAAATAGACCCATCCTGTCATTTCTTTTCCTTTTTTTTTAGATCCCATGAAAGTAAGCATGACATTTTATTAAGTATGATTTATTAGGGCAAGAAGGTTACAACTTCACTATGGTTGTCTATCCCAGAGAGACCATGCATATCTGCCTCCATATTTGCACCAATTATTGATACTGACTATTAGCCTCGTTGGTCTCCATTTTGTAGAACTAAGTTCTCAGAGGCCACATGGTTTTTTTCCTGTTATAAATGCAGGAGTGAATAGAATTCATCTTTGCCCATGGAAAACCAGTAGAGATGGAGGAAGAGCAGTGAGATGAATGAAGAAGTGAAGCAACAGGGAACCAAGCACAAAAATTATAGGTGTTAGGCCCATGGGCATTCTTGTTGGATAGATAGTGATAATCAATCTGGCCCTAGTCTTATGCCCTAGTATGCACAATAAGGTAAACTGAGGCAAGAAGGTCATTTCATTAAGATTTATTCAGAATATTTGGCTAAAAAGAATTCATCTAATTCAAACAGAGAATCCCGAGGTGAAAAGCAGCAATATTTTTTTTTAAAAGTATTATTTTATGATGCACTTCTGAAAAGTAGACAAAAGAAAAAATGTCATTTAACTATTTTTGGGAAAGAGGAAAAATATAGAGCACTGGAGAATATAATTTGGTTATTTCCCCCCCCCCCCCCCTGCAATGAGAAAAGTCGTAGTGTTCAACTGTGAATATCAGAGCTATTGGGAGAAAGTATAGAGCTATCACATCTATGTTGCAGAAATCAGACAATCACTATGTAGAATTAAACAAATACTGAAAACCGTAATTCTTTGCTGTCATCCAGTCCAATATCATGGCCTAAAGATCGTTACTATTTTACAAATAACATCACCATACCTTTGGGATCATATACTATTAGTGGTTTTCAGTTTCCCTTCTGCAGCTAAGTAACTGCTACATCAGCCATGATATAGAAAAAAAAAGTTGCAAAAATAGGTTTGTGGCTATAATACTGAAATTGCAAGTTGAGCAGTCCCTGGTTAAGTGCTGATATTTGCCCCGACACATTATCCTGCTAGCTAGAAGAAGCACTGTTAATCTAAGCCAAGGTTGTCAAACTCGTGGCCCATGGGCCAGATGCATCACATTGCTGGCCCCAGTTTAGTGAAGGGGGATAAAGTTGTGAAACATCACATGATGACGTATCATCATGAGTGTGACACCCCTGATCTAAGCAGAATACTTAAGAGCTATTAGCTCTGAGTTTCCAAATAGCCTAAATATCTTTGAACTAATTGGGACCTGTAGGTGAAGTTTCATCAGCATCATATATTTGGAGTTTCATCAGCATCATATATTTGGAAAGCAAGTGCCATAATCTTTGTGCTACTGGAGCAGTCATAGTAAAGTCAGCTCTAAAAGGCATGAGAAACTTTGATAAGCATTAACTCAGTTGAACTGGCATCCCTACCTCTGGAAAGTAACCAATGAATTGCTGGGGATAGCCTGTAATAAATTGTAAGGTGCTATGTCAAATGGACAGGAGTGCTCCAGGAAATATAGCATGGAAAAGTATTATTTGGCAGCGGAACAGAAAAAAACACTCTTAAGTCACTTTGACAGTGAGTGGGAATTTATTAGAGAGCAATGTTTTATCTGATTTGGCAGGAGAGCCATGTTGCAGATCCTGTCAGTCAAGGAATGTTGACTGACGGAGTTCATTAGGAATGCCTTTTCTACCATGGCACTGCCCTCTGGAACCTCATCCCTCTGGAAATAAGGTTTACCTCAATCCTGGTGGCCTTGGCCTCACTGAAACTTGTGGCCCTGGGTATGTGACTATTACTTGACTATGCTGAGGTTTTTATATATGTATGTGTTCTGTCTCACCTGTATCCACAGGTGAGAACCCAAAGTTTCAAAGTTATAATACTCAAACAAACGAACACAGACAATGCAGAGTTAAATGTTTCTGTTTACTCAGTCCTTGGCAGTCTTCCCAGAATCTGTCTGGCAAATCCGAGCTGATTATAATTCACGACGCTGCATCCCAGAAGTTCAAATGTATTCTTCCAATCCCAAAATGCACTTTGCTCCAAGCAAAGATTGAGAGCCAGCACGCCTCCTTAAATCCCCTGGAGGGGCGTGTCAGTATCTCTAATTAATCCCTGGCTTGACGTCTCCTTTCAGATTGTGATTGACATTTCAATCTTCTTCTAGTCCTAGCATCAAGCCAACATCCGTCAGTCTCATCCTCATTCGAAGCCTCTGGCTCATTCTGTGGATCAGCTGCTGACATCTGAGGCATGAATGAAGTAGAAGTTTCTGGAGACGACCATCTCTCCAACACTCTCTCATTCTCCTGGCTCACATCTGTGTCCTCTGATACCTCAGACTCCACATTTACAGCAGGCTCAAACCCTCCGTCTTCAGATGAATCAGATTCAAAACCCCTAGCAGGGTCAATCCTTCCAGTCACAACATGTATGTATGTATGTATATATGTATGTATGTATGTGTGTATGTATGTATTATGTTGCATTGGTATATATTTATAAATACATATTTATATCTTATGTCTGTTTCTCTCTGCCTTCCTCTGTCTCTCCCTCTCATCTCTCTACATATACATGTATACATGCATACAAATATACACACACACTTATGTTTGCGATTATGGTTGGAAGAGTTAATGGTAAAAGGAAATTAGGACTCCAAAGAACACAATGGCTGGACATCATCAAAGTTGACAGCCAGAGCATAAGAAAAACTCAAAGAAGGAGTGCAAGATCGGAAGATATGGAGAAACCTGGCTCATAGGATCACCAAGAACTGGATACTGACTTGATGGATAACATTATCATCACATGTTTTTATTTATATTTTATTTGTTTTAATGCTGTGAGCCTCTCATAGTCTATCCCTGCAAAAAATATTGTAAAATCAGCCATGGTCGCGCGATGACCCACTTAACAACTGAGATGACTTACAACTGTAATTCTAGGCTCAATTATAATTGTAAGTCAAAGGTTACTTCTGTTTTAGACTTAAGAACTACTTGTTAATAATTATGATTAGTGGATGGCTTGATCGCAACAGAAAAGTGATTTAAAATTTCATCTTGTTGTGATCTATTCCTTTTAACTTTTCCCCATAAGTATGGACACAGTACAATAGAGATATCCTTATAGCTGTATATTCTGAATTTGTCAAGCAGTATATAGTCCTTTTACAAGTTCAGATTTTTTAGAGAGCTCTTTCCATTCATCTGTTTAAAGAACCGAGAACAGTATATTTTATTGCAAACTATGCACTAAAAAGGAATTGTTGTTTTTGAAACCAGAGCAGTTATGACATGCAATCACAAGGACGATCATAAACCTGTTAGGCCTCTGTATTTACAAAGGGTTTTGGCAACAAACAGGCATTAACTGTGAATGTCTCTCCTTTGTGTTTATAATTTTTCCTATCATTCCACTTGTCTGTAACAGGAGATTTATATTTGCTGATAAGGCTTATTAACAGTTAAAAAGCAAAAATGATAAAAGTTGTATAGAATTTAGCAAACAATTTGTCCAAGTTATATTAACACAGTTGAGATCTGATATTAACACAGTTGAGAAAGTCCAGAAATATTTCACAAGAAGAGTTCTCCACTCCTCTACTCGTTACAGAATACCTTATGCCATCAGACTCGAAACTCTAGACCTAGAAAATCTAGAACTACACCGCATTCGGTCTGATCTAAATATAGTATATAAAATCATATATTGCAATGTCCTACCTGTCAATGAATACTTCAGCTTCAGCCATAACAACACAAGAGCAAACAATAGATATAGAGTCAAGGTAAACCTCACCAAACTTGATTGCAGGAAATACGACTTCAGTGGTCAATGTCTGGAATACTCTACCTGACTCTGTGGTTTCTTCCCCAAACCCCAAAAACTTTAACCTTAGACTGTCTATTATTGACCTCACCCCTTTCCTAAGAGGTCTGTAGGGGGAGTGCATAAGCGCACCAATGTGCCTACCGTCCCTGTCCCATTGTTTCTTTTATTGTTTCTTTTATTTTTTTATTTTTCTTATATGTATCCATGTATTCATAACTATGTTTTTACTTATACCTATTATCTTGTAAGCATTTGAGAAATAAAATAAATAAATAAATAAATAAATAAGTTAAATTGGCCTCGTTGAAGAGAGCAAAAGTATCTATGAACTCTGATAATCTCTGAATACATAGCAATGGATATTTGCTTAGTAAAATATATGACTCTTAGTGGTTCTGATCTTCCTCTCATAACGTCTCAGTGAATCTCAAGAAAGACAGAACTACCATAGAAGCACCCTGAAAGTTTAATTGTTTAGAGTACGTGTTTCTGACTTTTTAGATTCTTTTTTGAAGTGTAGATCTAATTTAGATATTTTTCTTTTTTTTTTCTTTCTTTATATTTTCCACTGCCTGCCAGCCTCCCCATTGAGTGTCCTTGTAAGAAGCTGCCAGGGTGCCTCAGAAATCTCCCTTGCCTTCCTGCCTTCAAGTCAGTGTTGCTAGGAGTCAACATACATGCAAGCAGACCTCCTCCACTCCATCCAATTGGGCAGTGTTGAGATTCAGGGTTTGAAGACAGTGGTCTAGACAGCATATTTCCTGAATGATTACACCACAGCTGTGGCTGGCATCTTCAGAGGAAGTTGGTCTACTATGTAGTCCATAGGCAGCAGATACAGGGACTGACTGGACTCTTTTCTTTATAGTCTGCTGATTTGTATTTAACTGATTTGTACAATATATATAGGGAATACACCAAATGTTAAAAAAGGAGAGTCCTAAGAGCCATTTGTATATAAATGGTGTGTCCCGTTTGCACTTTCAAAGTAGAATTGCAAGAAATGTGGCCTGGTAAGATGGGAAAAGTGAGCTTTAATGTTTCCTTGTTCCCATCTGTCCCAGACTTCAGAGTCGTCTGTCAGCCATCCATTGACAGGAGAGTCTGTGACCGCCTCTTGCCACTAGGATTGCTTTTGCCTCCTCTGTGTTCAATTCTTTCTCTCTACCTTTCTTTACCTTTTGTAGACAGAATTTGCACGTATCTGATTTAGATTTTTAAACACACACACACACACACACACACACACACACACACACTGCCAGAGTTCCTTTAGTCTAAATTGGAAAATCTAACACAAGAAAAAAGAATCTAAGAACTCTGATAATCTATATGATTAATATGATTATGATGAATGTACAACACAAGAATCACAACATGGGCTCCACTTTAAATAGAAACACCAATATATAAAGAAAGGATGGCACCAAAACTCACCTTTGTTTCTTCTTTCTTGTAAGATATCTTATTCAAGATAATAGTCATTGACAGCATGGATACCTTCTGGAATTTTACATTAGCTAGCCTTTGAAAAAGGCACTTTGTAACACAGAGAATGAAGTCCTGCAGTTCATTAAAGCTATAGTGTCTTTTTCAAACAGAGGCATTCACAGGATCTAGTACTTTCTTTGGAATAATCAAAATAGCAGCATAAGGCCTCAAGTTTTGGTCCCCTTTGTGCATTTGTGCAATGTCATAATGCATGTCTCTCAGAGTCTCAAGGCATTTCATTATTTCCCCCCCCATGCTCCTTCTCAATGGATACTGCTGCTTGCAAGGCTGATACTGAACTTCAGTGTGCTTCTTTTGCTTCCTTCCTCCCCACACCCCCAGCAAAATATTGAAAAAGTTGTTCTATGTATGGAAGTCCTTAATCAATGTTCAGGTTAGGCGAATGTTGAAGAATGGAGTTCTATCCTAAGGTACTGGTTTACTTAAAAATCTTTGTTCATGTAATTGTGACTGTGTCAATGAATGAATGAATGAATGAATGAAGCAATCGGTTATAATGGTTTCCAGTTCTGATGGTTTCAATTCAGATGGCAGAAAATATACTTGCTAATTGGAGAAAGGGTGGAGGAGAAAAAGGGGTGGACTTAAAAAGCAATTTTTCTTCTCAGGTGGGTCATCAAATACATTTCTTCTCTCACTTGCCATCTTGATTCAAATTAGCTGAAAACGAATGGAAATATTAATCAGAATCTGTTTCATTCATCTCAGTTATGGGAAAGCAGGTGAACATTAAGCATGATATTTTACAATGAAATTGATCTGTTGTATGAATATAGTTAATTAAGGTTTCAGAACAGCCCATTAAAAGGAAGTCCCACCTAATATGTGCTTTAAAAGCTATTAGGAAAGAGAACTCTTGAATTCATTTCTCTCCAACCTTCAACAGCCTAATGGGGTTAATTTGATATACACCTTCCGTCTCAAATGCATAGTACATGAATGAAATGATAATTGAACTGAGAGATGTGTCTCAAAAGCAAAGAACAAACAAAAATGTTCTTCAGCTGTGGTTTTTAGGCAACTGAAGTACAGGCACCACTATAATAACAAACAATTGTGGCTTTTAACAAATCTTCTAGGGCAAGAGCAAAGGGATACAATTAGTTTTCCCTCTATTATTGTTTTGATCCATTTTTATATTATGCTTTTAATAAGTTATTAGTAATTAACACACTTTAGATAGGCTTTTGGCATTTTTTTCACAGTAGCAGAAATAGTTGCCTTATATGGTCATATGGGAGGTTTAAGAAGTGGTACAGATAAGGAAGTTTACATTGGAAGAATTCATATTCTTTTAAGGACAGATGGGGCTATTTTAGCCTGATATAAGATTATAAAATCAGACAGATGTCAGCTGACATCAGCATCTTTACTGGCAGAATTATCTCCAGTGGATGGAGAAGAAGGAAAATGTGGAAGGAGATTCTGGTAGATTCAAGTATGCAATCTGTTATA